ATCGATCTTCGCTCGTTCGTGCAGAAAATACTGCTCGAGTAGATGAATCATGAAGAGTAAACCAAAACAAGCTATTGCTCATGAAGTTCATTGAAAATTCTTAGAAATCCTTGTTTACGAAATTGATAAATTATATTTCTAGTTCGGCTGTCTTGAATTACAGCAGTCAACAAAATAGAGCATGCGTAGACATAAACTCTGCCACGTGATCTGCTAGCTCCGCCCACTCATAATCACTTGACAACATAGTGACATTGATTGACATCTGGTACATGATAATTGATTGGACTATAGACGGGAACCCCACAGCAGATGCCCGCAAAAGTCTCTTGGGTAAGTTCCTGAAGACCCCTGGGTACTATTGCGCAACYTTCCCATTTTGTCGTGGAGAAGACAGAAAAAAACAAAAAAAACAAAAACAAAACAAAAAACAAGGAAACACATTTCGTGACTGTGATACCACAGGTATCCCAGTAATTAGAATTGACAATCGTGTAGCCGGCTTGTTTACAACCGATTTCCGAAAATACCATCTATCAGTATCAGTCGACATTTCGTGTTGGTATTATTCATCAAACCATTTTGTTTCTTTTGAATAGTTTTTGCACTAGATTTTTCTTTTAGGAGCCAGCTTGTTGCAAGACAAATTCTTCTTTTTCTTTCTTTCTCATTCATTAAAGTATAATGGTGGTCGGTGCACTATAGGCCCACAACACAATCTGCACGTAAGAATGCTGTCTCGGTAAATTTATGACAGTCACTCGCAAACAATTGCCAATCTGATAAATATTACAGACTAATTTATCAAAGCCGAAGGTAGATCCCTGGCCTTATACTGTTACTGTTCCCTTGTTGGAGCATTCATTTTTAGCGGGTTACCTGTGATAAACCGCTCATAAAATACCTTTGTTTTCTTTTTTACGTCCTGATTCCTCCCCTAGAAAATGGACAAGTTGCGCAATAGTAACCAGGAGTCTTCGGGACCTTACCCAAGAGACCTTTGCGGGCTTTTTTGCCTTTAAACTTGTTAATTTGGATACGACTTTGTCGAGACAGCTGCAGAGGTTGCCAGTGACGTCATTGATAATAAAAACACAGTATCCCAAAAGATTATGACATCGACTGCCGATTTTTATCGTTGAGATAATATCAATTCGATCGATATAACTTGCAGATGCCTAGGCAACACTGCATGCATATGGTGCCTTATGACTTCATGTACAGGAAGCACAAAACAAAATATTGTCAATATCCAATATTTGAAGCTTTTTAAAAGCGTAAAAAACTAAGATAATCGAAAAAGAAATCCTGCGAAAGTTTGTAACACCTGGTTTTGTTAAGGTACGGACACACGGTGCAACATTGCGCGCAACATTGTACGCAACAGGACTGTTGCAGTGTATGTCTACCCCCGAAAATTGCATGCAACAAATCTGAAGTTGAATCGCGCTCTACTCTTGCAACATTGCGCGCAACAAATTTCATCGTGTAATTTCATAATTTTGCTTGCTAAAGGGTTTATGTCTACAGTCCGATCATTTAGAATGTGCCAACGGTCAATCAATATCACTATGTTGCTAAGTGATTAAGAGAAGGCGGAGCTAGCTGATCACTTGACGTAAATTGATTCCGACGCATGCTCTTTTTCGTTGACTGCTGTAATTAAAGAGCAGCAGTAAGGGGGACTCGCGACTGCTGTTCGGAATACGCCGGGGATTACCTGCCCCCACGTAACGGCGCCGGCCGCGGGAATTATTTGAGCCAACTCTACGGACTTTTAGGCGAATATCCGATTTGACCACTTTACCCGTACCAAACCCGTAGGCAGTAAGGGGGACTCGCGGTCAATGTCAAAGATTTACGGGTTTTACAGGCGGTTTAAGGAAGG